TTTTTCTATTTAAAAAATGTTTAACCGGATTATAACTTTCAGTAAAGTGCACAAATCTTAATTGTACAACTGTATGTGTGTTTACATATGTATACATTCATATAACTCCCATCAGATCAAGATATAATAGTTATTAACAATACATAAAGTTCTAAAACATCAATAAGAATTGAGGGAATCAATACAAAGGAAAAATGGAGAAAGAATCTAAACAGGCAATTCACAAAGAGAACATCTGATAGATGTTTAGGCTCACTCTTCATAAAGAAAATGAAAACTAAAATAGCAAAATAAGATGCTATTTTTCATACACTGCATTAAAAGTTACAAATGTATACAATGCATCATTGATGTACGGTGGTGAAAGTGGGACTTTCATGTACTATGGACGTGGAATGGAAACCATTACTTGACGGGTATGTCTCCTGTTTCAAATTTACCTACATTTGATTCAGGGACCCATTGTTAAGACTCTGTCATTCAGAAATTTTCATAAAAGCACACAAAGATATATTAGCTGTTAATAATATCAACATTTGCTTAGAGCTCACTATTTGCCAGATAGTGTTCTTAGTTCTTTATGTGTATTAACTCATATAATTCCCAAAATGACACAGAAGCAATAGATATATCTCAGTCTGAATGATAGGTGAAGTAGGAAACTAAAGCGAAAATAGTATCTGCCTTTGCCTCAAACACTAGGTAGACAAGGCAAAAATCTTTTGTTAAATGGCTGAATGGAGAAGACCAGGCATAGATCAGAAAGTGTTGCCCAGGTGTGTCAAGGGGCTGTGACATGGAACCAAATGGATAAAGTCACAGGGCTGGGCTAGGCAGGTCCCCAAAATCTGATAACCATGGGAGAAGATTTCGCTACCCCAACACCAAGTATTTTCCATTACCTGCTATCCGTGCCTGCTCCACTGTGCCAACCACTATGGGCTTAGGGGAGAACTACAAGACAGTCTCTGTCTCTGAGGGTCTAGACATCACCGTGGGGACACTGTGTGCTCTGCTCCAGCCTCCCAGAGAAGGAGCCCTGCCCAGACATCTAGGCAGCATCTACAGCACTATGCAGGGATTTTCTCTCAAGCGTTTATCTCCACTGCCTGTCTCTGTTCTTTTTGATGGCAATTCTATGTCTGATTAATCTCTGTATCTTCCATACCTAGTCCAGTGTCTAACACACAATGGACAATTAGTGAATAGCTGTTGAATAAATGAACAGTTAGATCCATGGATGGATAGATGAACAGACAAGTAGGTGGGTGGATGGGAGGGCAAATGAATACCTCACATCTAGTATTAATGCTCTCCTTATTATATGTGGATGAGAGGGTTGCACTAGATGTTGTCTAGGGTTTACCGTTCTGCAAACATTCCTATATTCTGATCTAGCTTATGCCTAACCTTCAAGATTCCAGTTTTGTGGAGTTATTTCCACCCTTGAAGCTTCACCAGTAGAGAGAAAACTATAATTAAAATGGTACTGTGTCCTTTAGCTGCTTTTTCTCTTTCAAAGCAGACAGATCTTTTGTAGTTATTGTTTCATGCTTCTGAGAAAACAGATATTAACAGCTTCAGGGATGAATATCAGAGCATCTGTCCACTGTCATATTAACTCTTATCTGCAAAGGAAATCTATTTCATGTTTATTATCTTTTATTGTTGCCACACACAATGAAATGCTGATATGTTTCAGACTGTCATCACTGCTAGTGATTCTTAACGGTCATACACAGCTGAATCAAGTCATCGTGGTGGAATAATAAGAGCCAGAGGCTTCCAGAAGCATGCTCCGGCTGAAGAAGCAGCGGCTACCCGGGGCAGGCTCTTCCCATGGTGGAGGGCTGGAGGACACGAGGCCAAGCGGCCAAGACAAACCATGCAAGCACATTCCAAGCCTCTGCTGGGATGTGGCTTAGGTCATGTCCATGAACATTCCATGGCCTGTTCCAATACCACGGAGCAGAGCAGTACACTGGGCTCATGCTGGGGAAGGGAAGAGTAAATATTTGTTGGATAATAATACAAGCTAGCACAAGGGTCACTCAAAAGCAAACTCCCAAGACTCCTGCTGCTTCCTTGCGGTCCCCGGGAGCTCTGCCTGCTTCTTATGCTTTGGTGGCTTCTACCACCCAAGGAGTAAAGATATAAGGAAAAGAGTGACCGTTTACTGAGTTTACCTACCTTGCCCCAGCCACTTTATATATATTATTTTTAACTCTCACCACGAATCTATAAGGTAAGAGTTGTCATGCCCACATTACATATGAGAAAGCTACAGATCAAAGAGAAAGTATGTAGTCCAGGGTCACTAAGTCCATGCCCACTAAGTCCATGCCACAGACACTTGCCAAGCCCAATTCTGGCAGCCACCTAATTCCCATGACCTCCCTCCGGTTTCTTGGGTGCTCCGCCTCACTGGTCATCTTATCTGATTGATTGATTGATGCAAATTAAGACACAATGACACACTCCTACACGCCAAACAGAATAACTAAATTTAAAAGACTCAGAAATACCAAGTGTTTGGAAGATGTAGAATATTTCTATATCCTGCTGGTGGCAGTGGAAATTGGCACTTTGGAAAACAATTTGACATTATCTAACAGAGTCAAATGCATACTCTAATATAACCCAGCAAGTTCACTCCTCCTCAGTATATAGATATGGATGCTGATGTCAATGTCGACGTAGATTATAGATATAGACATAGACACAGATATATAAAACAAACAATTTAAAAAAAGAAACAATCTCCGCTTGAGAGGACAAAAGAGGAAGAAATGTCTTTAGGGAAAACCAGGCTCCCGAAAGAGTGAAAACATGAAGGTAACATTTAACAAAAAGTTACAGAACACAGAGAAATTCACTTGTCGGACTGTGAGTTTCACAGCCCCAGTGGGAAGGGTTTGGAGAACACGAGGGAACCAGAGATAGACACCCATTAAGGATTTAAGAGCTGAGTGGGATGAAGAGACTGCAAAGCTTGAACTTTGGGTGGTGACTCAAGTAATCAGGAATGCACAACGGTATTAATCTGGACGGGAAATTGGGAGAAGGCGGGTTATCATTTCCACTTAAGGCCTCAGCTGGGATTGGTTGGGGGTGGGGAGCTCAGGGCCAGTCGTTCAGGGAGATCACAGAGACTGAGATGCCTCCCTCGGCCACACCTTAAGTCACGCTGCGGGCAGAGTTGAGGCTGGGAAACTGAGCCAAGTTATGTCTCCTTGGTACTGTCCATGTACATTCTTTTGAAACAAGGTCAGAGACTTTAATTAATTGCTGCTGAGTTTCATCTTGCTAAGTCAAGCCCATTTTCTCAGCCAACTGAGGTTTTTTTTCGTTAGTTTAGGTTTTCCCTGTGGTTTACAAGTGTTTTTCAAAAATTAAAAAAAAAAATTCACATGGTACAGAGGGCTTTTGTTTTAAGAGCAGCTCTCTCCCACCACATACTCCCCCACCCACAGGCCCGCGCTCCCAAGGCTCTTTTCACCATCTCCAATAGCAGGTCTCCAGGTGGTTGCTTCATTTTTCTACCTAATATGTTCATTATCCTCGTTTTTGACTCGCGAACTTCAGACAATGTGTATTGAGTTCTTGTGCCGGTTGCTCTTCCTTATCCCATCCCAGATCCGTTCTCCCCCTACTGGCGCCCAGGGGACAGAGACTGATGTAAGGGCTGCTTCAGCAGAGCATCCAATTAGGTCAGGCCAAAGAAGGCCCAGCCTGAGGCAGGTGGAGAGAGAAGCGGGCCATCATCAATCCACCGCCCACCGCCCGCCCTGCGGCCTCCCTGTCTCCGTGGCTCTGCAGGGCTCTGGTCCTCTGAAGCAACAGCTGCGGGGAGCCCCCCACACAAGGCCTCTGCCCCGCCCAGCTCTCATGACACTGTTCCTCCCCTGCCCTTTGAGACCTGGGTCTGGTGCTCATCCTCAGATGTGAGGCCTTTAACCGGGCCCACTCCTCAAAACCCTGTGCCTCATCCCCCTTGAGTGTGTCCTCATTGTCACTCCTGGATGCTGACTGATCCACCCTGCGTGAGAATGATGGTCTGATGGTCGTCACCACTCTGGCACACTCCCTTCTTCCTTTCCTCTCTCTCCAAATGTCAAGTAGTTGTCTTACTAGATTTGGTGCTTCTCTGGGCTGACTGTCTTTGGAGCTTGAACAAGATGCTGAGGGCACACAAGCTGGTTGCCATCCACATCTCCACGCCCTCTGTGTGAAATGGGAACATCAGCCTTCTCCCCCTTCCCACCACATTTCAGCTCTTTCCCTTCCACCTCTGTCACCAAAGTTACCTGGAATTACAAATGTCAGTGTCATCAAAAACTGCATGTTCTGGTTCTTGTATATGACTTGGTTGTCATATATAGTTGTTTCTCACGTTTAAAAACGAAAGACCAGACTGATTATTCTAAAAGCTGTGAAGGGCTTCCTCTTCCATTGTCCGAATCCATCCGTTTCCTGCCCAGCCCTTCTTCTGGGGGAAAAAGTCTGGCTGGGAGATCTGTTTCCGGATTATATGGTCTGTGCTTTAGGGTGTGTGAAAGAGGAGCTTCCTGACAGGCTGCCGGCCCCCAGGTTCCAGAAAGGGGAGGTATGCTGAAAGAGGCTCCTTCCCACGCTAGCAGCCTTGGTTCACTTATAGTTTCTTGATTTCTCAGAGACATATCCGTACATTTTCTCCATAAGGGCAAACTTCTGCAGCCAGCCTGACATTTTGTAGGCAAAGGTGAGGAAGTGAGGAGGAGTTGCCTCACCCCAGGTTGATCTTCAGCCAATCCTCTTGCCTTCGTCCCCACTTCCAACCTCACCCTCCAACCTGCCATCTCTGAGCCCAGACCCCTGTGGCTCTGACCGGCTCAGTCCCCCCCACCCCCACCCCCATCACAGCCACCCTGCAGCCCCTCCGTGGTCTTCTCTGGACGGAAACCTCCATCTCTCCATTTCCTCCCCTCAACATGCTCTACATCCCACCCATCTTCCCGGAATTCTTGAAATCGCACACATGCTGAAGGATCCCCACAGAGCCTCTTCACTTTGTGAGCTTATTTCTTTTATTTTTCTTTTAATATAATTGTAATGGGCTGTCGAAAGGCAGAAAGTACAAAGTATCCTAAGTCTGTTGTCTCGAGCCATACACTTGAAGGAGTATATAAATGAGAGAAATAGATAAATAGTCAGCATGTCCCTGTGGCCTTGGCAAGATCGCTCCCATCTGTAGGTGGACACAGTTATATCCAGCTGTGGTCATGACACACTTATGTCTGTGTGTGTGCGTATTTCACATGATATTTTCAATTTTTTCCACATGTCTTTATCATTTGATGAACGTGCAAGCCCCCAGGGGTCCCTGCACCGACCCCTTCAGAGCACCTCGGATGGAGGCAGCAGTAACCCCATGCTGCACAGGAGAAAATTTGGAGGCAAAGTCACTTAGCACAGTGGCGAGTGGTGAACTAGGAATGAGAAGCCACGTCTGCCACGTTCCAAATGCCATTCTTTCCTTGCTCATGAGATTGTTCTGAGGATTAAACGAGACAAAATATGGAAAACACATAGGAAAAGTTTGACAAATGTAAGTACCATTCCTGCTCCTCCTTCTCAGTCATGGGGCCACATACCCCGAATTCCTCCCTCCTCTTGCCCAAGAGAATAAAAGCCACAACAAAGGTCTAAGGGCTCAGCTGGGGCAGCTGGAGATGCAAGTTTTCAGTTCAGTTTCACACCAACAACTTACGCCCAAAGGAAAGGGCTATGACCCAAACAAGGCTCCCTGAAAGTTAATAATTTTCTCTGTAATTGCTAGGTTTCCATTTCCAAATGTTCTGATAGGAACCATGGGAAACTCCTTCAGCAGCTCCCTGCTTGCTGTCCTTGTGTCTCAGGGCCTCCAGCATGAAAAGCCCCATCAAGCTGAGCAGTAATACCAGGGGGTCCCCCAGGGACACCGGGTGGGCAGGAGGGGTGCCAAGGAGAGTGAGCTGGGAGCACTTCCTCCACAGCAGAGCGTCAGGGTTGGACAGACCTGGTTCAGATTCCAGCTGTCACTGAGGAGCTGTGTGAGCACGAGCAGTTACTTCACCTCTCTGGTCCTCAGTTTCCTTTTCTGTAAAATGAGGAAGAGGGAAAAAGAAAAACAAATAACCACAAGGCACCTCCTCTGTAAAGACGCTGTGATGTGAGCAATAACCGCATGAAGGAGAGCCTGGCATAGCCCCAGGTCCGGCATTCTGGTGCTCAAGACATGGCCACCATCTGTTGAATCCTATGCCTGCTGAGATGTTTCATGGAAAATCACACACCTGCTGACGTGTGGGACCAACCCAGGCTGACCTGTGCGCTGTGTCCTTTTCACTGACTCCTCTTCTCTGCCCGAGATGCAAGCCAACCCACCCCTGATGTTTCTCTGTGCTCTTTTTTTCCCCATTCTGAAGTCTCCTCGTCCCTTTTCTCAACCCCAGTCCACTACAAGTTGGCTTCAGAGCTGTCACCAGTGCATGAGATTTTGCCTATGGTCACTTCAAACCATCCTGGACCACCTGGTGCTCCTGCTGGGTTTCTATGCTGTTCCTCATCTCTTAGAGATATGGTTTGGAAGCTTCCAGAAGCAGGCTGTTCTGGAGGCTTGAAGATCTACCCTCGATGAGGCGCCACTGTCAGCTAGGGGCGCAGGCTGGAGCTCTGGGCGCCTCCTCTCTGCCTGGCCTGCCCAGAGCCGGCCTTAGCAAAGTCTAGACCAAGAGGGCCTTGCAACACAGTCAACATGAGGCCTCCTCCCTCTCGGCAGCAAACCTCCTCACCTGGGGACTCTCCTCACACAAAGTCCCGTGTGCTGCCTGGAAGGGGAGAGGCTCCTGGCCTGGGCTGCAGAGCCGCCACCACTGATCTCTCTGTGCTCTGGGTTCACCCTCCCCACTCCCCACTCCCCCCTCATGCTTCTCATTACTCGCAGCTTGTGACAGCGTTAACGAACCAAACCCCTGTTTCTTCTCTCCACTCCTCTTAACATATGCATAGCCACAGTCTGGTTTTCTTAAAAGCTGCCAAGTTGCCAATCAAGTAAGTCAAATTATCTTTCCGTGCTAATGGGAAAGAACCAGAAAAAGCCCCAAGGAGAAAATATTTTCAATACACACAAAAAGGTGTGATTGTCTTTTCTGTATAAAGAGTTCAAATAAAACAATAAGAAAAGCATTAACCACTTTTCTGAATGAGGAAACAGCATGAACAAAATATTCACGTAAAAGAACATGCAATTTGTAAATGAGCATATAACAATATATTCAACCTCATTAGTAATCAAGAAAATGCAAACTCAGATAACTACGTATGTTTCTCACCTACAGAATTATCAATGATTTAAAATCTAACCCTTAAGTCTGACAGGGGGCTCTGAGACGAGAGCTGGTCATCTTGATTTGGGAGAATACAAATTGTTACAGCCACAACTCAGGAATGTATGAAAACTTTAAGCACATTCCTAACCTTCGATCCAGTAGTTCCATTTGTTAGAATACAAACTAAACAAAAAAACGTGAACTGCATGTATTTATGTTCATATGGTTTATCAGAGCACTACTTAACTGCAAGGAAATCAAACAACCTAGTAATTAAAAGGAATTAAAGAGCTTTTATACTTTTATATGGGAAAGTGGCTGTGACATAATGTTTGCTGGTGAAAACTCAGCACTCAAGATCACATATTCAGTAGTATCTCAGTAGTATAAAGCAAATGTCCACAAATGCATAAAAACAACTAGAAATAAATAGATTTTAATGTGCTAGAGATGATGAGCAGTAGTTAGGGTTTCGGGGTTTTTTTCTCTTCATTTAATTTTTTTACACAAAAAGCATCCATTACTTTGATGAAGGGCAAAACTCTTAATTAGAAATTTTAAAGGACGCATGGAGAATCTGCCCATCTCCGCCTGTAAGAACCCACCCCCAGAGGACAGCGACTGCAGCAGGGTCTCCCAGCCCCTTCTGGAAGGGGCCAGCACTGAGTGTGTGTTACTTTGGGGTGGGCATAAGGCGAGCAGAGGTTCCCCTCCCATGGGCAGCTCCTGTCCTGTACAGTGCAAGGACGGAAGAGAAAATTCCCCTCTGGGACACCATCCACCCCCACACCCTTCAGAGGGCTCTGCGGGTTATACTAGCCAAGTCGGACACGCATCACAGAGCTGCGAAGGTCAAGTCCCCTCCTGCCCACTGCCCTGGACAAGCTCTTGTCACTGCTGCCAACCTCGGCTCTCTCACCTTTGAGACGGGCCATGGGCAATCCTGTCTTTGAGAGCATTTATGGGAATTAAATGAAATAAGAACTGCTTTATTGTTACACGACATAACTGAGTTCTTTCTACTCCATTAACAAAGATCCAACACATGAAGACACATTAGTAATGCATTTCTGTGACTTAGCGGCAGACTCTGACCATGCACTCTAATTTTTCGTATAATTATTTACCTTCCTAAAATAGCACTCATTTCTTTAAAATTAGACACGTCCATGGTTAAATTTTCAAAAATATACCCAATGTTTCCCTGCTAGCCAAACTACTACTCAGTATTAAATTCTCTCTACCTTCTTTTCAGAATGCTCCGGGGTCCTTATTATAAAGCAGGAGTGCCCGTGAGGGGGAGAGGGACCGTTATGTTTAACTCCTCTGTGCTAAGTAAGACATTGCAATTATGCCATTAATTCTCTAATGTAGTGCTCACAGCAGCCTAACTTTGCAGTTTGCTCCAATTTCACAGACAAAAATTTCAGGCTCCGAGAAGCTAAATAAAATGCTGAAGCTTACCCAGCTAGAAGGCAGTAAGGACTCAAACCCAGATGGAGTCCCAAACCGTCGGCTCCTGATAGCCCACGGCGGGCCCCCTGCTGCTGACGGCTGGAGCCCAGATGCTCTAGGTGTGTGACGAGTGCTACCTTGTTCTCGTTTCTGACCTCTGCAGTGTGTTGGGCTTTCCACCTTCGTCGTTTAGTTGTTCAGTTAGCTGGTTTTTTGGCTTTCTTTCTGTAAGGAGTTCTTGTCACGTTTTGAAGCTCTTATTCTGTCCTACCCTGAGAAACTAAATAAGCAAGGCTCTTATGATGATGTCTAAGGCCAGTCAGCTGGAAGTGAGCCTCCAGGCAGCCTCCCTGAAGTGAGGCACAGTGACCTGGGGACCCGTTCTTGGTTACCTGGCAGGTCCCTCGGCTTCCTTCCAGCTCTCCAGCTGCATTTCACATCACGGAAGTTGTTTTATTCACGAACTCTGAACACAGGGGCTATTACCTGCCTATGGTATTGCAACACCAAATGTTACGGTATCATTGCCAGCTTCTAGTAAGGCCTTTTCGGTCCCACTGTTATTTTACAGACATTGCCTCAGTGGAACTCGGGAATGTAAGCATTCTTGTCTCCATTTTCTAGCTGAGGAAACTGAGACTCGAAAGTCTCCACACCTGGCCAAAGGCCTTCTGTGAACAGTTCACTTCAAGGCAACACGTGCATGTTGGGCACGGAGGTTTGACTAAGGATCTACAGGCAATGTGGACTTCTTCGTTACCTAACTAAAGAGAATTATGAACAGCGTCCCACTGTGTCAAACAGGCAGCCCTAACCATCACTCCTGAAGTGGGTCCCTCCCACGGAGAACTGAGCAGGCGCCTGCACCGCACACCTCCAGGGGGCAGCCTCAAGTCTGTTCAGCGCGGGTGGTACTCCTAAGGGCTCACATGTGCAGACAGCTGGAAAATGGTGTCCGGGACTGCAGCAGAGTGACCGGAGCAGGAGCAGGTGGGGAGGGGGCCGCAGCAGGCACCGAGGGCTGTCAAGTAAACAACAACGCAGAGCCCCCACAGGAGGAGCCGACATCAGACATGAGAATAACAGCGTGACTCCTGGGGCCGGGATTTCAAATAAGGGTGACATGGTCTCAAGCTCTCTGCCTTTCTTGGGGGGAGGGGGCCACATCTATAACAACATTCTTTGTGGGTGGTGGGGGTAGGCTCTATTTAACTAACCAGAGTGTCTAAGTCCCTGTCAGTTTTTAATTGTCTAAGTAAAGCGAAGTCGCCACAAACTCCACCATGTCTGGAATCCTCAGACAAAGGGGATCCAAATAAATCACACGTCCAGCAATCCTTTTTTCTGAGAATCTTTCCCAAACTTAGCCCATGGGTTGGGACAGCACCCCTGAAGGGCCATCAAGGCGGGAGCTCTTCCCAGGCCACAAATGCCTCGCGGCTCTGAGAGGCACACAGCTCTGAGCCGCAGAGCCGATCTGCCAGCCAAGATTCAAAGGCAGGTCTGTCCCTATTTGGTCACCGTCTCCGACAGTGCTGGGGCAGGCCACTGTGTCACATCTGGGAGTTTTCAGTCCACAGAGGAGGGGTTTCTCAACCACAACCTCTGTGTCTGGTAGTTGCAGACAGAAACAGAAACAGAGTTAGAAAAATGTGATTCTTGCGCAGGAAAGTTGGAACAGACGAGTTCACAAGTGGGCGGGTGTGTGCTTAAAAAAAAAAAAAGAGAGAAACAGAAAGGGTGGAAACCCCACCAGCCAAGTCTGCAGAAAAAAATACACGCAGCCTGCCTATCTGGGGCCGGGGCCCCTCCCCTCGGGCCGCGCGGGAGCAGTGTGACACAGGTGCCGCTTCCTCCCGCCGCCCAGGCTCGGAGCGGCCCAGCGCGACCCTCGCCACCCTCCGCGCGCCCCTCGGCCGCCCGGGCCGCGCCCAGCACCCCCGGCGATGAACAGCCTCAACGACACGTCGCCGCCCGGCCGCGGTGAGTACCCGCGTGGGGGGTCGGCCGGCGCGGGCCCCGGGGCGCAGGGCCTGGCGGCGACCAGCCGGCCTCGGGTGGCCCCTGGCGCGCGGGCTCTGCGCCCCGGCCGCCCCTGCGCGTCTCTTTGTGTGCTGGTCGGGACGCGTCGGTGGCTAAAACTTTTCCCCCCCGAAGAGAGTAAGAAAAGGACCTGCTGGGAGGGAGAGGCCGAGCTGGAAGCAGGCTGGCGAGCACATCGCCACCAGTTGTTTCCCGGCTGGCCGGCAGGCAGGGAACTTGGAGGCGACGCTGAGCAAACTCGGGGACTCTCCCGGCCCCGCTGGCTGGCCTCGTCCCGGCCGGCCGAGAGACACACAGACGTTGGAGGCATCTGCTCTCCTGACCTTTTGGGGTTTGTAGCTGCTCACGGCCCGTTTTTTTTCTTTTTACAACAGCACGTTTTCTTGCTGACAGGAAATCGTATACCCTGAGATTCTTTGTGAGATTTTCGGAAACATTGCTGGGCCTCCCCCGACTTCCTCTGCCATTGGGCTTTTGCAATGAAAAACTAAAATTTTCTTTTAACAGAAAGGAATGTTTATCCTTCTTAGCCGCACTCTGGCTAGGTCTGATCATTAGAAACTGTCAGAGAGGAGACATTCTTAGCCTATCATGTAATCCTGTTAAGTAATTAATATGATAATGATCTGGGTATCGGAGACACCCAGTGGTTTATACGTCTTTAAAATCCAGGTGGCTGTGGGGCTTTACTCAGTGAACTTGAGCAGGAATAAGTGTGGCGAGGGCTGTATTTGTGCACGATGTGCCTCTGTGTGTACACAGCCACATGTGTGCACGTGAGGGTGCTCACCTCCGTCTGGGTGTGCACAGCCTGGAGTCCTGGGAGTGAGGGACTCGCTGCCTGCATTGGGATCAAGTGTGCCAGTTATTAGCCAAGGACCTGAGGTGAGCCAGCTCCTTTTAGCTCCGGTTTCATCATCCACAAAACGGGAATGATAAGATATTGCTCTTTGGGTTGTGAAATCAAGTGCGTATAAACGGCTCAGCACAGAAACTGACTCATACTAAGCGCTCGATAAATGTCAGGCGTCTTTATTTTCATTTCACGTGAGACTGTGGATCCTTGGGCTTGTGGGCATCAGTGTTTATATGTGTGTGTCTGTAAGTGAGCGTGTGTGAATCAGACACTAGTGAGCTCCTGCGTGTGTGTGTGTGTATCGTGCCAGAGTCGAGGGGCCGAAGCTGCTGTAATCCTTCCACTTCAGGCACTGAGGAAGTGCAGGCCTGCAACCATTCCCCTGTTTGGAGAGGACGGGCTTGCTGGCCCCCAGCCTTGTCCCTGCCTCCCAACACCCCCACCCAGTGGTTCTCTAGGATTCAAGTTTCAAACCTTGACCAATGACTATGGGCACTTCCCCTCCGGAACTGATGGGACGCAGCCCGAACGCGCATACCATTCCACATTCCCCCTAGGACTTGATTTATGGCAGGATCTCTGCTGTGGGAGAACCGTGGGGCCCTATTCCTTGCTGCTAACTCAGGCAGGATGTGTCTATATCCTGTCTCAGTTTACATCACTGCTCCTCTGAGCCAGAGGTTAGAATGGAGAGGACTCGCTGCTCCCGCCCGCCCTGCCAGGCCTGCCCTACCCAGCTGGGCTCAGCCAAGTCCCGTAGCCCGAATGCCACAGTTATTGCGAATGAGTCATCTGCAGACATCCATTGCCTTGCCCTTGGATGGAAGGGGTCAACGCTCAGTGAGCTGGCCAGGTCTGGCAGCTTTCTATAGAATTCGCCACCTCTAGCAGAAACAGAAGGGATTGCATTAAATGCCAATGAAATTTTATCTCAGCCATTGCTCAACCCCTCCAGATATCAGTGGTGTCAGGAGTCACGCGGCATTGGCACAGTCAGCGGCTGGACCTTTCCAAGGGTGCCCATGGGTGGGCACTTATTTCTGGGGACTTGCAGTGTGCCTTGGGAAACAGAGGAGTGTGGGGCGGGGGGATTCTGCATCTGCAGTGGGAGCACATGAGCCCACTACAGTGAGCAGGAAGAGGACCCTCAGCAGCGGCGGGAGTTGGCAAGCCAAGTCAGTGTGCCTCTTTGGGTGGCAGATAGATATACCAAAGCCCTTCTGAGGCCCCAGCCAAACACCCTCCAGAGATTGAGCCAGCACAACAGGCCCAACATGCCAAGAACCAAGCAAAGGAATCTGAACAATGAACGAAGAGTTAATAATAGTTAATTATACCTTAACACCATGTATAGACTGACTCATGCTTCTTGGGACTGCATAGCATGAACTGTGTTAATATATGAATGAATTGGTTATTTTATTTAATCAATTCCTCCACAAATGGACATTTAGGTTGTGTAGTCTTTATTTGATTTTTTTTTTAACCAGATACAGTGCCACCATGACAACCTTTGTAAGTAGGGTTTTACATGTGTATATTTGCATACCTTTAGGATAAATTGCCCCCTAGAATTTAATTTCTGGGGGCAGAGAGTGAGTACACTTAAAATGTTAGTAGATACTGAAAATTGTCCTCCAAAAAGTCACATGAATTTCTAACTTCACCAGTAGCCAATGAAAGTGGCTGTTTCCCCACATCCTCTCTCACACGGTGTAGTTCTTATCTTGGCCAATCTGATGAGTGAAACACATTGTCACTTTTGGCTGTGAGGCTGCACAGGGTTTCCTACCTCCGTACGACATTGTATTTCTTTTCCTGGGAACCACCTGTTTTGCCCTTTGCCCGTTTCCTGTCAGGTTCCCCGGCCCCCATGAGGACCCCTGCCCCAGGAGTTCCTGACGGGTCCTCCCTCCCCAGCGGCTGGAGGCAGAGCAGGGACCGCAGAGCCACTGCTGTGCAGTCAGAGCCGAGTTTGATCTCGTCTCCAACACTTATTGGCTACGAGGAGGTACAAAATACCTCAGAGCCTCGGTTTTCTCGCCTGTAAGTGGGAGTAATAACAGCTACTTCACAGGAATCGTTCGATAAAGGAGAGAAGAAGGGCTTGGCCCGTGCCCAGCGATGATAGCGGTATCTGTGCTGTTGTTAACAGAAGTTATCAAAGTAAACCTGGCCTGCGGCAGCTGGTAATCTCCTGAGTCTCCTGGCAGACAGCTGCTGTTTTTGCTTTTGATAACGTAACAACAACGATGACGTCAGTACCTATGTGCCGAGCCGTGTCCCGCCCTGCTTGGGTCACCTCTCTGCAGCTTGCTCTCAGAGGCACTTTCTTACCTGTTTCCAAATGAAACACTGGAGGCTCCTGGGGACATTGTCTGAGGACACACTGACTGAGGACACAGCCAGGCTGTGGGCACAGGCTGTCCAACCCCAGAGCCAGCAGAGGCCAACCGAGGGGGCCGTTAGGGTGCATGTGGTCTGCTGCCTGGGGCCAGGCGGGGAGTTCCGCCGCCCACCCACCTTGGGAGCTGGGCCTGGGACATCACCGCTCTAACTTTGCACACGGCAGCACTGCGTGCGGCGGACGCTCAGAACCTGCCCACCATCCCACAGCTCTTCAGCCGGCCTGTGGGCCAACCTCAGCGCACCGACGCACATCGTCTCTCCCTTTTCTGTGGTCATGCCTGACCCACGCTGGGCCTGCTGCTGACCTCTGCCCTGCCTTCCCCACCAGCTCAGGCCGTTCCCTGGAGCCCTCTCTCAGGGCCATCCTGCTGCCCGGGCCGCCCTGATTCTGCAGCTTCACTCTCACAAGTGCCCGCTTCAGGCCCCTGGGCTCTCTGGGTGCCCTCCCCCCACCACACACACGCACACGCGCACACACATGCACACACACTGTCGGCCTGGCAGCCACCTGCTTGACAGTTAAGGCCGGGTTGATGCACTCCCGCCTCCCTGGGCCCTCCCTGAACACTAGAAAACCACCTGCCGTGGCCCTGGGGACATTTTGAAACCCTGACAGATTCCTGAGTCCATCCCTTTCCAGGAGTTCAGACCTCCCAAGGGACTCCACGACCCCAACTGCCCCCACTGGGGGTCTGGCGCAGAGAGGTGCTCAGCAAGTGACTGGGACATGAATCCATGACTGCACAGATGACCCAAACGTCTGCGCTCCCAGGCCTGTGTCCACTCCGAACGCCCTTTACAAATTATGCGCTCAGTAGCTCCAAGATAAGAACTTGGTGTATGCATGGAGGCAGCAAATAATAACTGAAATGGACAGAAGGTCCAAACAGAACAAATTCTAAGAACACCACTGACGGGCCCCAGCAATCACCACCTAGCTCTCCTTCCACGTCCAGCGCTGATTCGAGTTTCCTCCCTCTGCCCTCCTCTCTCCCACCCCCTCCCCCCATCTTTGCCGAGAGTTTTCTTAAGATCATTATGCAATCTGAACTTCTGAGGGAATGCTGGCTCCTGCCCTTAGTTGTTATAAATTTTAATTTTTGTACATTCTTCCATAACGAATGTGAGTGTGCAAAATCTTAGCCAGTGGCACATGTTGGTGAGCGCTGGTCTCCTCTCATGCCAGCCAGAGCCCCAGCCCGAGACCCTGGATTCCATCCTAGGCAGGCGGAGCTCAGCAGCAGCCTTGCACGACTCCCCCTCGCCCGCCCTCGCAGCCACTGGAGAGCCTGTGTGGTTATCACCATGGCGCAGACGAGCCGCTGGGCTGCGTAGACGGCCTGCCTTGCCCGTGGACAGCAGCAGAGCACGACTTGCTGCCCACCCACCTGGCTCCCAGGCCCTGCCCTTCCTCCTGGCCCGATGACTTCACCTCCTCTTATTAATGACTCTTTACAGTTGACTAATTACTGGAGGCTCAGTGTGGACAACTCTGAAAGTTGAAAACTCCAGGGGGACCCAGCCATGGAGGGGTCACAATATTGTGCGATTTACCTCCCGGAGCTTCCAGCAGGGGGAGAGGAAAAGGAAGCATTTTGAAATACACCACAGCACCTGTCCTTACCAGATCTGTCCTCAGGGGAAACTAGTTAACCAGAGCCCGACCTGCTGGCATACTATCAGAGTCTGAGTGACTGGGAGCCAGCCTTGGTGGCCTAGTGGTTAAGGTTCAGCACTCTCGCCAGAGCCCAGGTTCCTTTCCCGGTCAGGGAATGACACCACCTGTCTGTTGGTTGTCAGACTGTGGTGTCTGCCTGTTGCTGTGATGCTGAAAGCTGTGCTACCTGTATTTCTAATACCAGCAGGGTCAGCCATGGTGAACAGGTTTCAGCAGAACTGACAGACTAGGACAGACTAGGAAGAAGGACCTGGCCACTCACTTCTGAAAAAAAATTGGCCACACAAACCCTGTGAACAGCAGCGGAGCCTTGTCTGATAGAGCACCGGAAGGTGAGAGCATGGCGCAGACGACCAGTCAGGGATCTGCTCTGCTGTCCACAGGGCCACTAGGAGTCGGGATCCACTCAGCATCACCACCACCACCAACTGAGCTGACCTGGGGCAAGGGGAACCACTTCAGCCCCCTCTAGCCATCCTGTCCCACTTACTTAGGGAGAGGACAAAAGCTGAGAAACACTGTGAAGTTCCCGCCCAGAAGCGCAGGCTCGCTGAAAGGTAGAGACCTAACCCGGAGACTGTAGGGTGACTCCCCTCCCCCACCCCCTCATCACAGTTGTTCCCTCTACCCAGGACGTCAGTCCATCATGTCTGGCATGATGTGCAAGGCCTACTAAAAGGCAAAAGAGAAGACCCAGAACAAGCATTGGAACCAGTCACGGCAGGGATGTTGGAATTATCAGACTGGGAATTTGAAACAACGATGACTGATAACTCTGGCGACACTTTATTGTACTCACTCTGTCTCTGCTTCTCTAGCAAACTCCTTCTATAGGTTAAAGGCACCCCTCCCTTCTCTTGTGGCCTAAACTTTGCGGCCGGCATACTATGGGGGCTCTGTGGACGCGCCCAGGCCCTGTCAGGGTCCCTGAGGGCAGGAGGCTTTCATTTGGGCAGTTGTGAGGCAAGACCCGGGGGAGCTGCCCGGTCATCTCCTGGCTCCCGTTACACCCTGACGGAGGCGTTTTATCTCCATTCAGATGTGATGCTGCCAGCTGGCACATCACACGCAGAGGGCACAGCCAGAAGCCCTTGCTCCCACTTCTCCTGCACACAGTGCACGTTTTTGTGAGGGGTTCGGGTAGGTGGCTGCCAGCTGACCCCGGGCCTCAGCACTACCATTTTCCCCTTGGACCCTGGAAGGGAGAATCCTCACATTTTATCAGTAGCTATGGGCACGTGTATTCTCAGCAGAGTCTTAAAGTGAGGGAAATTATGGTTTTCCAGACCAAAACCAGACAAAGCAATCATGCCTGCCCGCCTCTTGTGTGGGGCCTCCGTCTGTGACGCCCGTATTCCCCGGCAGCAAAGTTCCCTGGCTGTGAAATGCCACTTTCTCTTGAGATGCTCACCAAACACCCTTGCTGGAACTTTGCACACAGCCTTGAGCAAGCAGAGCCTTCAAGTTCAGGTTCCCCTTCTGTACTTTTTCAAAACTATTTAGCCCGCACTCACTTTGCACCAATTTGCTAGTGACAAAGTTAGAACACCAGCTTTAGAGTTCAAGGATTTGGGTGTGAATGTGCCCCCCTCTGACCTGGCTTTGGCCTTGAACACATTGAGGGCCTCTTGGCAGCTCAGTCCATCATCCAGGGCAGGGCTGGCCCCCTGGGCCTGCACCCTGTGTGGTCAGGCAGGGCCCCGCCCTCAGACGGCCCCACACACATGTGGTTTAATATTCTGCTATTGCCGTCTTCAAAGTCTTAATTTTTGAACAATGGTCCCCACATTTTCATTTTGCACAGGGCTCCCCCACAAATTCTACAGGTAGTCGTGATTGGGTAGATGGGGATAATAATCTTTTCTGCCTTAGGGGTTTGTCTGAGGATTGGCTGTATTACCACAGATAGTATTCCTAGTATCTTGCCTGGTACCTGGTGATCACTGGCACTTGCCAAGTGTTTGAGTGTGTCCTCAGTGCATGCCGGCTCGCTCCTCACTGCCCAGCTCCCTCCTCATTCCAGTCTTGTCTCTGTCTGCCCACTTGCCATTGAAAATAGTACCCCAGGACGAGATGGCACAGCTGCCCAGAGCCAGGGCGAGGCCCTCAGACCCGACAGGGAGCCGCCCCTGCAAGAGCTCTGGGAAGCTGCTCCCTGCTGACCTGGGAGGGCTGCCTCCAACACGGGGGAGGTACAGTGGACAGCAGCCCGGAGCACAGGTGCGGGCCTGGCCCGTGGCCTCACACACTAGCTGTGTGACTAGCCATGTGACCTTGAGCAAACCGTTCACCCTCTGCAGCTCAGTTTCCTTACGTGGCACCCTAAGAGGACCAACCTTGCTCCCCCGACCTCCCCTAAACACCAGCCTCTTAATAATGGGGGTCTCAGCTGTCTTGTTCTCCATAGGGAACAGTAGGCTCTTGACAAACACTCATGAATGAGGGAATGGGTGAATGGATGGATGGATGGATGGATGTGTAGGTCCAACCAGTGCACACAAAGCCTGATCTGCACAGAGGGTGCTGAGTGTCCTGATAGTCACTCGCATGCTCTGCCAGTCCTGTGTGAGGCCGCATGCCTCGGTGGCCCGAAGTGGCCTCTGAGCTCCTCTTGGCTCAGCCCCCGACCTCTTGGCCTCTGGCGTTCCTGTGCACTCTAACCCGTGGCTGTGTGGAGCCCCTCCCTCTCCCCTGGCCCTCCTGCTCTCCACTATCCCTGTCTTCTCTCACCAGCCATTTCTCTCTTTGCCTTGGTGCTGCCCTGGCCCAGGGTCACAGCTGGGACTCTCCAGTGCTCTCAAGCTTGGGCTCCCTCTCTCCCGGGATGACTGCCTCCCCCTGCTAGCTGCACCCCAGGCCTGAGCCCCCGCAGGGAAGCTGGGCCTTCCTTGCTCCCTCTGGTCATGCTCTAGAGGGGCTGCCTTTGGGTCACCCTCCTTCAGCTTCTGCCAAAGTTCTCCTTTTAGTGAAATTAATTTCAGCTATGGCTGGAAATCCTGAGTCGTCCCTTTTTTTTTTAAATTTCACATCTCGTTTTTTTTCCCTTTTCCACAAATTCCTTAAATTATCTTGACTCACTCTTCTCTTGGTGACTTCCTTCCTGACTCAGAGCATAGAAACTGCACACAAGTTATCTCATCGCGGCCAGAGCAGCCCCAGGGGGGGTATTTTTATCTCCTTTTTGCATGTGACGATACTGAAACTTGCAGGCGTGTGACTTACTGGGAGCCACAGCCACCGACCCTCAGGCTCGCCCTCACGCTCACCCTCACACTCCTATGGCAGGCTTTTCTAGGAGGGCTCGTGTTAGGCACAGAGCTTAGGGCCCACAGTGCTCTTAGAGATCCACAAAAATGTTTATTTTAAAATCAGAAGGGAAAAATGAACTTTTAAGACTAAACATCACGTTTGTCTTTATAACGATGTCACTATGTAAAACAACTTTTAATATTTTGGAGAAGAAGGGACCCATGGAGGCCCACGGATGTCCCACTGCGGCCCTGGCTCAGCCCATCCGAGGCCGAGGGGCTGGGTGACCACTCGTCCCCACATTGCCGTTCTCCCTGCCCACCTCTGCCCTGCTCCCAGCGCTCTGACCCTCCTCTGTGTGGCTGTCCACTTCAAATCCTCACACTGCCCCTGGCCACCCTGCCCAACACTGCAGCAACCCGGGGCTGGGCAGCTGCAGTGGCTGTGCCCGTGCCTGCCCTGTACCCGCCTCGGGAGGTTCATAGTGCCGAAAGGAAACGCGTGAGGATGCACAGCACTCACTCTGTGTCTAGCTCTGTCTTTATCTCTGTCTCTGTCTCTGTCTCATTTCTCTTACTCTCTTGGCTTTTTAAACTGTGAAATTAGGCTGCTCTTCACTTAAAAGTTTAAAAATGTTTCCTTTCCCATGTTTTATTATTATGGAAGCAATTCACATTTGTTGTTGAAGTACGTATACAAGACCAAGAGGAAGGATGTCAGGAGATTCTAGAGCAGAGGTAACTCTCAGACCCGCACAGGACAGCCAGATGACAGCTGGAAGGCAGTTCAGAGGAAGATCTGGGCAGAGATAAAGAAGGGACCTCAGAGTAAAGAGGCCACCAGGGAAGGGCCCCGAGGGGAGCCTTGAAGAGCCTGCTGGGGTTGCCTTGATGGCTCTAAATCAGATCAGGGCCAGAGGGCACACAGTGGATCCCAGCAGAACAGCAGAGGGCGGGGCAGGGAAGAGTGCTTGTCGCGTTCCCACTTGGCGCACCCGCTCTGTTCTCCTCCACCCCTGGCCAGGTTTACGTGGTACCTCGTTTTATCCTGAAGACATTACGTGGGTGTAGATGTTACTAATTCCAGTTTAGAAATATGGAGACTGAGGTTCAAAGAGGTAATTTCCCCCGAGCCTCACTGTGCTCACTGACGCTCTCCAGCCTTGAGCCACATGAGTCCCTCCGCCTCTGGGACGTGGCAGCCGCCATGCTGGGGGGCCGGGTTGCCCATGACCCCTCGCCCTTCCGCTCAGCTCCGTGCAGCCCTGAGGTCACTCTCCCGCCTCAGAAGAAAAGGCCATTCTTTATCCTCCCCACCCCGGGCCACTTGTGCTGGCTCTGCCCTCCTCCACCACCCCCACCTGGCCACCTAGCAGCTGCTAATGAAATGCTCATAGTGGTGCACAAGGGCCGGGTTGTGACCATGTGAGCTCTGCCAGCTGAGGCCAGCCCACACGCAGGTCCCACTTCCCCCGGGGAAGAGTGGGCAGCTGTCTCAGGGTCACTGCAAGGGCACCCAGAGAGAATAATGCCCCCACCAATTCCCGGCCAATTCCTGGAAGGCCGCCCCCGCAGAAGCACCGCTGGGCCAGCAGCTTTGTCTTTGGTTGAAATATCACAAGCCCTGGGGCCGTCGCCGTGTTGCGTGTCATACTTTGCTGGGTGCTGTCAGATCTGTTTCCTTTCTTCATTCAAGAGAGACGTTGTCTCTCTTTGACAGGACCCTGCAGTCCCAGCAGCAGCCCCTTGACGTCACTCCATCCTGTCCCTGACTTAGGAACCCGACAAATGGGTTTCTGGGGCACAAACAGGGCACTCGCAAAGGCACCAGACACCTGCAGCCCAGACTTGCCCCATCTACTACATCCGGCTGTGTGGAATCTTACAAGTTACTTAACTTCTCTGGGCTTCACTTTATTTACCTG